ATTACATACTTACTTTTGTGAACATGTGCGTACTGGCGTAAACTTTTGTGGTTGCTTATTATTTTGAAATTACTGTATGCAACTGCATAATAAATACGCATAATTATGTATGCTCGTACCATAGAAGTACTAATCTACCGCAATACAACCCTATTAATATACTGGATGGTTTGGTGACACACAGAAACTGGTGGTTGTCCACCGATGATCGAAGAAAAATACAGTTCCAGAAAGGGCGTAATGTTGCGCAAATGCGATGATGTACTTACCTTACCTGTTCATTGCCGGTATTATTTCTATCAATCGAAAACTTTGGCATACACTCATACACAACAACTCGTACTCCCGAAGCTAAACCTTCATTAAATCCCTACAACATTGATTAATTATTAAAAATGATTACGTATACAAAAGATTCTTCTAATAACTAATTAGTATTGTACTACAAAGTACAGGCATTTATAAGACAGACGCAACGGTTCTGGAGGGAAAGGAGCAGTATTTGTACCGAGATATTTTTGCCGGGTTACGACAAAATACTTCCAGGACAAATTTTGTCTTTTTCAGGACAAAAAACACTGATTTAAGGGTGATTGTGATCCATACGTTTGCCATATGAGTAAACGTCTAAATAAATGTACCGATATTAATATAATTCATATAATTCTTTTCGATGGGGCAACGAGCAACGGTTACAGAAAATTACTCATATTGAACCGTTCCTTATTAACTCAATGAACGCTAATGATTATTTCTCCTGAACAAAATGGGGGATGTGTACAACTTTATAGCACAGTACTACATCGCAAAAAGGTGTATGGCATGCGGCTGAAACCGCATGATATAGCAAAATGTGACACAACCGGAAGCATATTACTGCACCAGTTTACGATTAGTAGCATCTCAGTACATTATAACTCAGTACATAAATAAGTTTCGTAATTATAGCCCAAGAACATGGAGTGTAATATCATATCTTGTATGTGACACGTATATATTTGTACTAAACATAACTTATATATATATAAACATAACTTATGTATATATTTTTATTAAACATAAGCCCCAAAAACATGTCTGCCGCACAGGGCAACCGCCCGTGGTAGTCGGTCCAGGGGAAATTCGAATTTCAAAAATCGGCCTCAATCATCTTGTTCAGAATTTTACGCTGTGTTCAATGGTGTATTCAGAAAAATTATCGGATGGAAACTGTAGGAGTAGTGTTTTGAAAACTGGATAGGGGTCTAACGACGGGCCTGGTGGTGACTACGGAGGTGGCGGCTACGGAGGTGGCGGCTATGGAGGTGGTGGTTACGGAGGAGGAGGTTATGGTGGAGGAGATTACGATGGTGGAGACTTCTTCGATGGCGAATATGCTGGTGGCGGATATGCAGCCGGTTATGATCCCATTCTGGATAGCGATTTCGGGATGGGCGGACTGTACGACTGGGGATGGTATCCGCCGTGGTGGGGCGGTATCGGATTTGGAGGAGAATTCGGTGGATACTGACGTTTCGGAAGTGGATGGGGACGGAAAAATGATCGATTGTGGGATCGCTCAGCCCTGACCTTTGTGATATTTTCTAAATAAATAATAATTCCGACCTCAACTTACAAACACAAACCAAAGATGTCGCCTTTTAATTTAGGATTCACATTCACACTTGTGCGCTTGCTTTTCCTGTTCGCACTCATATGCTGCCTAAAGCTTGCAAAATTATTAGCCTAACACTTACATATGGTAAACCTCCAGTATAAAAAGAAGCATCCAATGAAAAGACAAAAAGTCTACATCACCCGATGTTCCCAAGCGGTCACCCATCCAAGTACTAACCGGGCCCGGCGTAGGTTATCTTCCGAGATCGAACGGGATCGGGAGTTTTCTACGTGGTATGGTCGTAAACAAATGCATGCAGTGGATTTCTGCAAATTGTCGTTTCACAGAATATCAGGGTATTTTACACAAGATAATTCAGCAGTAAGAGTCGAAATTATTAGTAGTGGATTAGTCAGAAAGTAGTGTACTCAGGTCGCTGCACCGGCACTGCAAGACTGCACCAGGCACCGAACTGCACCAATGATGGGACTTACGCTTTTCGGTCGTTTGAGACACTGGCACTGGGCCCGCGGGCCGATCCGGGCTGCGGCCCGATATGTTCCCGGGCCGCGGCCCGGGCCGTCTTGCAGCACAGTGATATTTTTTACCCGGATGTCATTATGCAAGCGGCTACAGCGTGTATGTCAACGGAAAGATAGACGGATTTTCGCCTAGAAACGTCTATTGATGTGAAAATTAAAAAAACTCATTGAAAACTAATAAATTTCATTAAATCGCAATGAAATTTTTTGTTTTTCTACGTCTTTTTCAATATTTAACGTCCACAACGGGCCGCGGCCCGGGCCGTGGCCCTTCTCCCTGGGCCGAGGGCCGCGGCCCGGCGCGGCCATCCCAAAAGGGCCGGGCCGACCTCGGCCCGGGCCGTTCGGGCCGCGGCCCTGGGCCGGGCCGGCCCAACACTAATCGAAAGTGTTAGAGGCTGTTCAACCCCAGCCGTCGCAACCTCCGCCACCGTCCGTCAGGTTCAATCATTTGCACAAAACGATCAAAACCCATCGCTTGCAAAGTAAAAAACGAAACATCATTTTACTGGAGAGATTTTCCAACGCAACCGCAGTTTAGAGCGGAATATGCAAAGTAACCAAACCCGTTCTAACAAAGGTTCAGTGCATCTGTCAGACGGCTGTACTGACTACAGTTGACGTCACTACAGTTCTGGCGCCTTTGATTCGCCATACATGCTGCATCTCAATCGTTGGAAGACTGAAGATCAGTGGTTTTTCGCAAACTAATACCTAGTGCGCTAGGGTCCATTAAACCGCTTTTAGTGCTCGATTATAAACTTGGAAATATTAGTTTTGGTGCTTGTGGACCGGTGGTCCATAGCAAAGCAAATTATATGTTCCACTGCAAATCTTTAAATTTTCGCCAATTAGCGGAGGCAGAACTCGACGGCAATGCTTACCAGGAAAATTACCGACTCGCTTCATCTTTTCAGCGCAGAAGCCGATTTGATCGGTTTGATACGACCGGGTTTTTGATATTCCGCTTATTCCTCGCCTTCTGAGTTTTAAACCGAACGAACAATTCTCCGCCGGTAGTTAACAACCCAAAAATTATTTCTTTGTTTTAATTTTTCATTTGATGGTTAGACACACAGAAGTTTTATTTTTAGGTAATCAAATATGTACCAGTTTTTTTTCAATTTACGAAAGGTTTTGTTTTCGCTGCGGATGAACTGACACACTGATTTACACAGAAAACGTTATTCATGGTAAATCATTTGTTAGCGTGGTTTCGAAATGAACACGGCAAACAAAAACGCTTTAGGAAACTATTTATGGATAGTTTAAACCAATTTTTTCATTTAAAAAACATCGGTCACGTTACTTACTTTTTCCAGGTCACGTGACCGTTCCCTTCATATAACTATGGCTGGTAATCTACGGTCACCTTGGTTTTGACGTGCTAACTCCACTTTGGTGTGAAACCTGGTTTAGTGCTTGGGTGTTGATTTGGTCAAGCTCACCAAAATCTTTTTTGTAGAGTGAATGTAAAGAATTTTGTAATTTTCTTCGAAATATGACTACAACAATTTCCTCAAAAGTCATCAGCATGGACAGTAACTTGTTACGGTAGCGGTAAATATATCCCGTCATTGTAACCGGTTACAAAATTGGACGGCTACGGTGAACGGTTACGCTAACGACTCAGCATAAGAGCAAAGCGATAACGGTAAACCGTTGCGTAAGCCTTTATGGCAACAGTAATCCGCGGTAACGGTAACGCATTGCGGGTGCAGTAAGAGTGGAGACTGAGTCGTTACAATAATAGTGGTAAGAGACTTTTTACGGCAACGCAACTCGCTACAGTATTTTGGGAGTGGTTACGAGAACTTGTTACGGTTTGCTACGCAACGGCAACAAAAACAATAAAAACACACCACTTGCACCGGGTAAACTTTCCAGACCAGGTCCGAAAAAACGGACCCTCCATACATTTGTATGGCGGGTTCGTGAAAAATGCCCCGGTGGTTCCCCGCATGTCGGTTCCACAAAAACGATCCACCCGGGGCAGGCAAAATTCCCGGACAGAATTCTAAAAAACGTACCCTGGATACATTTGTATGGCGGATTCGTGAAAAATGCCTTGGTGGTTCCTTCATCACAAGCGATCCACCCAGGGCGGGAACAATTCCCGGATTGGGTTCTAAAAAATGGACCTTCCATACATTTGTACGGCGGGTTCGTGAAAGCTTTTGTTCACGGAAGTCCACGCGTGCGGTACCGGCCTTTGCAGCTTTTGGTCACCGAAGTGCACGTCCGCGGTAACCGCTTTTTTGAGCCTTTGGTCATCGAAGGCCACGTGTGCGGTACCCGCCCGAATAAGAAATTCGTCACCTAGGTCCACGAGTGCTGTATCCGCTCTTTTAGGCTTTTGGTCACCGAAGGCTACGCCTGCGGTACCAGCCCGTATGTGAATTTTGTCACCGAAGCCTACGCGTGCGGTACTCGCTTTTTTAAACTTTTCGTCACCGAAGGCCACGCGTGAGGTACCCCCTTTACAAGCTTTGGTTACCGAAGGCATTGTCAGTCTTTGGTAACTGAAGGCCTTTTAAGCATTTGGTCACCGAAGGCCACGCGTGAGATACTCCCTTATTAAACCTTGGGTCACCGAAGGGCACGCGTCCGTTGCCCGTCCTATTAAGCCTTTGTTCACCAAAGGCTTTTCAAACCTTTGCTCACCGAAGGCCTTATACGACGATGCAGGTTATCCACAATTCGCCGGCGAGCACGGTGTTCATCATTTTCTGAAATGTGGCTCCGGCGTTGCATAGCCCGAAGGGCATACGGACAAACTACTCGTACAGTCCATCCTGGGTGCAGAAGGCGGTCTTGTGGCGATTCTTCTTGGCGACCGGAACTTGCCAATAGCCGGACATTCAGACAAGCGTGACGAACCAAGCAGCTGGTCCAATAGCGTCGATTTCGTCGGCAATGCGTGACATCGGGTAGGCGTCCTTGACTGTGTGTGCGTTCAGATCTTTGTAGTTAACGCAAAATCTTTTAGTCATCTTCTCGTTCTCGAATTTGTCGACGAGGACAACCGGTGCAGCGTACGGTGAGGTGGAGTCGGCAATGATCCCATCCCCTTTCATCTCGGCTACCTTCTCGCGGATGAACGCACGGTTCGTCCACGAGGTTCGGTACGGCTGCTGGTGGACTGGTGGTGAGTCGCCGGTTTTAATGGTGTGTTCGGTGGCAGTGGTGCAACCAACGGGTCGGCCTGGTAACGGGAAAGCTCTGCAGCGGCGCCGTAGTACTGCAAACAATCGGTCGCGCTGGCTGGCCGTCAGCCGTGGACTGATAATCACGGAGCGAAGCTGTTCCTCCAAGACCGGAGAAACGGACTCGTAGGCAGAGTCTGCCGCCGCTGGGTTGCTGTCCACACTGAATGAGAGGACCGGTGCGTCAGAGTTTTCCGCGTACAACTCCAAAGTTCCAAGCGAAGTGGATCCACGGAGGGTTATGCCACGGTCCCAGTAGTTCTTTGCAAATGTGTACGCGGTTCCATTGTGGACGGTTACGATGGCGTGTTCGAGGAGGATATCGCCGCGGGAGAGCGCGTCGTTGTGCTGCGGGTGGCCAGACGGCTCGAAAGGCGTGCGGGAAGGAATAACACGTATTCTCCATCGCTGGCGTTGACTGAAGGAATGCCAATCGGATCCTGGGTCCGGACTGTCACGGTGACTTCCTCGGCAAGGACCACCGGGATCGAGGCTGTGTGGACGCTGCTAGGGCTTGGCGCACCGTGTGCGGCTGGTGACCTTTGGGCGGATTCTGTTTCTGTAGACACAGAATACTCCTGTTGGTCGGTCCCAGTGCTGGAGCTGGATGAGCGTTCGTGCAGGTCGGCTTGGTAGTCGGTTGGGAGTGCTGCTTGTTCCGGAACAATGGTGCGGTCCTGGCAGCGAATTTGAAGCGGTTTTTTTTCCATGAAGTCCATGCCCAGTATGATTTCCGGCATCGCGTTGTCATCACGAAGGAAAATAGTGTGCCGGTACGGTTCACCGAAGAGACTGACGTATATGTCGGCACATGTGGTCCCAACTGTCCGGGTAACTCCGTTGCAACCGGTTACACTAAACGACAGGTGAAGTTTGGGAAGAGGTTTCGGTATGGCGTGCAGGTTAGAACAAAACGAGCCTGGCATGATGGAAGTACTGGCGGCAGTGTCGAAAACAACAGGGAGTGACACTCCGTTGATGGTGACATACTGGCGCAACATCGTGGAAATCTTCGGCTTGCCATCATGCACAAACGCTTTGTTAGACATCATTGGGACTTCGAAGTTTAGGTCGGAAGGTGGTGGTTCCGGTGTGGGATCGTTAGGAGATACGGCGTTGACGTGAACCACTGGCGTCGCCGCTAGTGTTCTTTTGGCTGGTAACTCTTCAGGTACAACTCCGTAACAAGTCCAAAATCAGCTGGTTTGGTCAGGCAGCGATCGCTGTGGTGGCCGGGAACACCGCAGAACCAGCACTTTGGCGGTTTCTGCTGGTATGGACGTCGGTCTTGATCGCCGGTACGGGCTGGTTTTGGTGGCTGCAGTGGGACGACGATGTGGGCTGCTCGGCCGGCTTGGGCTTCTCTGCCGGTGTCGGCACCGGTTCGCTGGTGCGGGCCGAAAAAGACGGTTTTGGTTTAAATGGCTGCTTGTCCGGCCTCGATTCCGCGGTGGGTTTTGATCGCCGACTCAACGTTTTGTCAATGGCCACGGCCCGGCGCATGAGTGTATGGAAATCGTGGATGGTGGCCGGTGCAAAGCTTACGATGCTGCGGTACAGCTCGGGTTGTCCGACCAGGCCGTTGGTCAGAAACCCGACTACTTCCAACTGACATGTCTGAATTGACGGCAAAGGTCAACACTTGGATAGCTTCAATGTACTGGTCCGGTGTCTCCGAACCGGTGTACTGGCGTTTCTGTAGAGCCGGACGGGCTTTCCACGCACGGTCCTGGTCATGCAAGCGGTCGATCAGGACTTTCTTCAACTCGGTGTACTTCCGGTCTGGCTTCTGGGCATCAATGCGCATGAACACCTTCAACGCTTGACCTCCGAAATGGGATGGTATTGCTGCCAGCTTCGCGGTATCGGTCCACTGATTGGTTTTGGCAGCGCGCTCGAACAGCACGAACCAGTGCTAAATGTCCATATCGGAGTCATCGAACGTTGGCGGTTTCACAAACGTTAGGTTAGACTTCGGTATGGGCTGATGCCGTGTTTCGATGATGTAGACTGGACGCGGTTCAGCGGCAGCTTGACGCAACGGCGGTGCTGGACTCGGCGTTTGCGGCGATTTCTTACGCAGTTCCTTTTCGAACGCCTTGGCCAGGGTATCCGCAAGCTGTTCTGGATCCAGAATCATCAGGTTCTGATTTGCCGTTGCTGACCGCTCGGGGCGGTTGGCACGGTATTCCGGAGACTGTCGGGAAACCACTGTTCCAGCAATCGGTGAGTTACTGCGGCTATCGGACAGACGGGAGTTCTCTGCGACCAGCTTCGCATTCTGGGCCTGCAGCTGGGCGATGTACACGGACTGGTCCTGGAAAACACGTTCATCTTTCGTGGTAGGAGTACGACCAGGGGCGGTTGTCAACACCGCAGAAATGGCGCTGCCTGCGGCTTTGATGGCGGACGAAAAGAAAATTCGGACGGTGGCCAATGATTTGCCGCTCTGCATGGACACGATTGAAGAGTCGAATGATCGGCGGGATTGTTGAGAATGCGCTCGCGGAGGTTCGGCGTGAATGTCAGCCATGGTAATGATAGCGTCGGGGTTCATCCTAGGACTGGAAACTGCACTTACTTGCTGGCCCGGTGTGTTCTGTGTGTGATGATCTTGACGGCGAAAAGATTGTGGTTCTTTATCGGCCATGGACATGATAGACGACGGACGCGGGTGGCTGATCGGTGCAGGTTCGAATCCGTAGCGGACGGGTTCCTTCTTGTTACGCGTTGGCTTCGACATGGTTTCTGAACGCCGATGAATCGTGGACGCGATTGGTCGAAGCACTTCGAGCGGGATATTTTTTTAATCCGATTGGTCGGTCGCTAGTTCCGCCTCTTCACGAGTCCGCGGTAGGCGATACGTGAATGTAGGGAAAAAAATTCGGAAGACTTTGCGGTACTGGCTCGGTGGTTTCTTTCCGCTGGTGGAAATTGATGCCAGAAATAGAATCTGATGGTGAAATTAAATATCGATTCCTGGAGAATATCGGAAAGGAAGATGCGGAAGATTTGGTTCCTAGATTATTCCTCGTAGCGAGCTGGTAGGCTCAAGCAACGCGGTTCTAACAAAACACTTACAGGCTTGATATCGTTCGGCACTTCATGTAAATACGACCGAGGTTACAGCGGCAGCCGATATGTATCAAACTGCCGGCTGAGGAGGCTGCATAGTAGGCACACCGTCCCTTCTGGGTCTTAGTTCGAAACATACATAATTGTGGATTCTCGTGGATTTGTAATCTAATTTATCACCTGCAATGAGATGAATTCCAAACGTAAACAGTCGTTGTTAACGGGATTTTTTAATCCAAATTTGGTTAAAAAACTAAAGTTGGAGATACCGAATGTGTTACGAGTACATCTGTGAACGCTCAAGAAGAAAACGTCGTCGGCAAGGTGACTGATACAGACCAGGGTTCGTCGGTACCCAGCGACTATGCGTCGTCGGCTGAATGCAACTTTTTTTGTCGGAATTGACAACGGCACAATCGCTAATGAGGTGTGATTTCGGCTCTATTGTGTCATTTCAGATGAGACGCTTCGCAAGGTTAAGCATTTGCGTCTGTGGGAAAAACACCAGTGCAGTCCACATTTCAACGTGTATACAGTCTTCTACTTGTTTTTTTCTGATACAATCAAAGAAAAGTTATTCAACACAAGAATCACTATAAAACCAAACTAATCTTAACAATTTGAGCTATACCAGCAAAATGTCACACTCGGTTTTATGCGTACGTAAATTATGTCCCAAGTTATAGCTCTTGCCATGTACACGTAACCAGGGCGGCGACTTCTCTGTACTTGCATGGATTTCGATTTACTCTTGTACAGAACTTGTGAAGTGCGAGCGTCGTTTATTAGTTGTTACTCGATTGTGAAAAGCGATTTATGACAAGTTTTTAGCAACGACTTACAAAGTATACTGAGTATATATTACATATCAGCACTTTTCTACAATTTATTACCCATTTTTTAACTTTTACACAAAAATGAACTAATTTTGAAAAGTTTAAGCGGAACATGGAGTGTCGCAAAACAGTAACGTTGTCGATTTTGTATAAACTTCCGCTCATATTATCATGTATTGTGAAATGTTTAAACCGCGATCTAAATCTAATATCAGCGATTTCGCTGCATGATGTTTCGTTTAAATTATAAAAATTATTATAAGTACAACTAATAGTAATAACTAACTACTGGCAGTCTACTGCTACTCTGTAATATTACAAAGTATCTGACGATGAATTATTTATATCCAGTATATCCTGAAGATAGCCCAGACCAAAACTTTATGAGATCCAAAATAAACTTTTATTTGGCGCGCGTTTTTAGATAATCTCAGTCATTAGTAACATTTGCTGGTACAACCATTCCATATGCTAAAACCATTTACTGGGATATACTTACCGTTAGCACAATTCAAAAGCAAAATATATTCACTTTCAAATTCTGCGTAGCATCACACAGCTACAGAGTGCAGATACAACTTCAACAATGAACTTTCAAACAGATTTGCACCATGTTAGGGTCAATTATAACTTCATTTAATTAAATATTGTTATAAAAAATGGTATCAAAAGAAAAATGACGTTGAAGCAAGTTGCTAGATCGGATTCGGAATGGAGTTTTGCATATGGTTGTTCAGAAGTCCTATATGTCTCGCGATATTGTCTCATCTGAAATGACAATGGCTAGGCACGCTACGCCTCGTATACCTTCGGCACGCCTCATTGTGCCGTTGTCAATTCCCGCTCCACTGGTGGTTGAAGAAACCGCATCTTCTTTCCCGCTCCTTGACATAGGCCACGCCGTAGAACAGAAGGAGAATGCTGTGAAGCTGACACGAAGCCAAGACCACGCATTTCTGGTAACTCGTTGGCAGCCGTCAGAGGATTACGACTTCCCGATGGCAATAGCTAAGAAATTGAAATGTTTCCATATTAGCTGCAATACAGAAAGGTAAATTAACTTAACTAACCAACTGACAATAACGTAGTACATTATCTAATGAGTAACACTTTGACTTCTTAAATAATTAATGATTGCGACTTCCTAAAACCATTTCTTATTATGCGATCTCGGTAACCTTTTAATGCAGCAGCTATTGCCATCGTTCGCGAATCAATGTCTTCCGCCATTTCCTCCAGAGTCAGTAATACTGGTCGAATCAATGTCCACAGCCTGTCGACAGGCAGGTAGCGAGAAGTCCACCGCGTACTGCTCCATAATGAAAGTCGGTTGCACGAGCTGTCGGCTGGTACCTGTCTGTCGGCTGGTACCTACCTGTGGTGGTGGGCGTAGCGTAAGCTCAGAATAGATCCCTCTATTATGTTTCGCACTAAGACCCAGAAGTGCAAAAGTAAGGGACGGTGTGCCTACTATGCAGCCTCCATTCTGAACCAATATGATGATATAATCTTAAAAAACAAAGGTGCAGCGAATTTTCAAATATTTTAAACTCGTATAACTCAGTAAATTTACATCGGATAACCTTTATTTTGGTTCAGAATGTTTAAAGAAATTTACTCCGTAAGATGGAGTTGTCAAACTTAAAATCGGAGGAAACGCTGAGTTATTTGATCCGTATTTGTAACTTTGAGAAATTAAACTTTTTGTGCTGGGCCAGATAGGCCGGAGAGCAGACTCAGAATTCATAACAGCGCCCCTTATGCCGCATATACAAGGAAACTTTTTATTGATGTGCAATAAAAAGTACTGAACATAATAACTGTAACCACGCAGACTGCAGCGAATATATAAATACTTGCTTTTTAATGATAATGATAATAATGTGATAATTAGTAAATTAAGTATTAAGGTTATTAATAATAAAAGGTAATTACAGCGCCCCTTATGCCGCATATACAGTATCTGTCAGAACATCAAAACGTCAGAAATTCAGAACGTCCAAACGTCAGAACATCAAAACGTCAGAATATCAGGTCAGAACGTGAAAAATTAAGAACGTCAGAACATCAAAACGTCAGAAATTCAGAACGTCCTAACGTCAGAACATCAAAACGTCAGTCAGAAACGTCAGAACGAGAAAACAGTCAGAACGAACGTCAGAACATCAAAACGTCAGAATATCAGGTCAGAACGTCAGAACATCAAAACGTCAGAAATTCAGAACGTCCTAACGTCAGAACATCAAAACGTCAGAAATTCAGAACGTCCTAGCGTCAGAACATCAGAACGTCAGAAATTCAGAACGTGAAAATATCATAACGCCAGAACGTAAAAATTACGAACGCCAGAAATTCAGAACGTCAAAATATCAGAACGTCATAACGTGAAAAATTAAGAACGCCAGAAATTCAGAACGTTAGAGTGTCAGAACGTCAGAACGTGAAAAATTAAGAACGTCAGAACGCTAGATTTTTAATATTTACAGTGACCTTTCCAAAATAAAGCCAATACTATCCAGTACTTAAGTGCCGAGCGCGGATGCGCGAGGCTACCTTGTAGTGGATAAAGCCAAATGAAGTAGTAAAGTCTACTGATAAATACTACCTAGTAAAATAATCTGGACAGTATTCAATTTCAGAGAGGACATAGATCATTATCATGGATGTCAATGAGAAAATAAAACATCTGAAACTGAATGCATCCGAACGTAGAGTGGTATCCGCGTTAGGTTGCGATTTATTTGGAGTACTTCCGGTAGAATTTACACTTTCCAAGCAAGCGCGATGCAAAGGTCTTTACACAGCGAATATTTCGTCGATTCCGTACATGGCGAGCTTGCTCAGCGTGGACGCATCCAGCAACCGCAAGTCTACTTCCTGCCACAATCGCGGGCTGCCATCGGCATTGAAGCCGCTGAACCTACAAAGCATGCGTAAAGTGTCAAGGAATGCTACTGCGTGCACTGGAGTTGTCAACATACACAGAAAGATATTGGCGAATGGTCTGCCACTCATCCGGATACTGCAGACTACGCACCCAACGCTCATACACCGCCGTGACCTTTGCCAGCATTTCCTCGGTGATCGGCGGGCAGTGTTCGTTGAGGGCGGACATGAAGCGACTTGTCATGTGCATCTTGCCGTCGCTGCACCGCAGAAGCAGCCGCGGAATGCGGATGGACATCTGGTCAATGCGCAGTGCACGCGACGTCGGTGTCAGATGTTTCATCAGCTTCTGCTCGTGTTCCGGCAGGCGACGGACGGCACGATTCAAGTCGTGAAACACTTCATATGCTTCGAATCCAAACAGGCGCGACACGGTCCAGTTGTACAATGCTACGAATCGGCAGTTGCGCTTGTACGACAACGGCACCCATGGTGCCGTGTGCTTCAGCCGGTGCTGCTTCTGCCCCGCCATGCTCCCATGCTCACAGACCATTTGGTCGCGGAAACCGATCAGCAACAGCCTGGTTTGCATGCGGTCTAGGATGTCTAGTAAAAAGGAGGTGCGATCCGTTGGCAAGGCGTCGAGGAAGGTGAGACTGACCGTGGTGCGAGTAATGGATTGGGCGAGGAGCCCTGCCAGTTTGTAGCAGTTGTTGCTGTCCACCTGCAACTGCCAACAACTTGCCACGCTGATGCTGATGTGGTCCGCCATGCGCGGACTGCTCAACAGCAACTGCCATAGAGCGCACACCCTGTGGAAATAGAAACAGTAGCGCTGTTAGACAGCTGCCACGTTTAAAAGCAATACTTTGATTTTTCGCATACTTTGGTCACCCATCATGTGACCCTTCTATTTTAACTTTTATTTTTTAAACACAAGAACCACGTGATAATGACCTTTCGTTTCACCCAGTTAAAACAACGCAGCCAATGCGCTTACCGTTGGGCCGTCATTTGGGAATGCAGATCCAGATGGGCTAAGATGTCACTCAAGAGGAACGGTGTTAATTGGCTGATGCGGGCGGCTGGCTGTAGGGCATCAATCTCCCAATCTGTACAACAATTTCATCACACCATCTAAACTGAAGGGAAGTGACCCGGTACATGGCGCCAAATTCGTGTACATGAAGGAAAACTCACTTTCGCCTAATCCCTAACTCTTTTTTGCTTTGTTTTATGACATTCTGTTGCCAGATGATCTGTATAAATAGGCGTGAAAACCGTTGGTGCGTGCGACATGCGGCTCGGCAGCTATGATTAGAAAGAACTTCCAATAAGTTGAAATGCAGTCAGTCGCATTACGGATCGATCTCCTTTAATTTAGCTTGTAAATCACCTAAAAAATATTATGAAGATAACTTTTTACACCGAACCACGGTTCTAGCATTTTTTCAAACTCTAAAATTTTTGAACATCACTCTAAAATTTAAAAAAAATTGCGCATCTCTGGTTCGTTGTAAAAAAACGATCTTCATGCTTACATTCAAGTGCGTGCATTAAATTTCTGTACGCGCATTTACGTAAAAAATTTGAAGATCGGTCCACAATGAGACTTTTAGTGCACCACAATGCATTTAAAATTTATGGAATTTTCTTATAGCCATTACTCCCAACGAACTGGATGGTAGCGCACAAAAACAGCTTTCACGCCAATGTATACAAATCATCTGGCTGTAGAAGGCCGGTACGTCATAAAACAAAACAAAAAAGTGTTTGGGACCTTTTTCGGATTACGCAAATTTTCGTGCGTGTGTACGAATTTGGTACACGTCACTTTCGTGAAGATAGAGACTGCCTGCCATTACCGCTCCATATTAACACAGAATGAATGGACGTTCATTTATTTGCAGTTTTCACTACGAGGAGGGAGCAAGCATCTTCGGTAGCGAATTCGAATAGCCAAGACTCTTTGAGCACTGCGTCAAGTGTATGACAGCATGATTCACTTAACAGCCAACCGTGGAATGTTGTCCATCTGCGTGCACCTCACCGTCAACCGTGGATGGGTGCCCTAATTGACATTTGACAGTGGCCAAGTTAAACGTGGATTGCCAGCCTTCCGCGGTTGACTGTAAAGGCAGATTTGCTGTCACAGTATGAGTGTCCAAAGTGTCTTCACTATTCGAACGCGCTACCCAAGATGCTCTCATGCTTGTTCCCTCCTCGGGTACTGTAGAGCTACTCAAAACCCGGTTTTTGGCAGTTAGCAGCATACTGAATGTGTAAGTATTGTACAAGAGCCAAGGGGCAAAGCACGGGCTCGGTATTTCTTCGAGCGGACACCTGGTGCAGGGTGCACAGTTTTCAATTACGATCTTGATAATTTCTACGAACAGAGAATTTCAGCCTCCATCTTGTCGACTGGCGAGATTATCGAGATATGAGGAACCTGACGGAGGCTAAAGAAAGTTGTACCACTTGCCAGAAAGCTATCAAAATCGTTGGCAGGAAAAAAAAACTGGAATACCTTGCCGGTAAGGAGTCAGCTCATTCTTCACAGAAAAGCCATTTATTTTGCTCTCCTTGCTAAACTTTACTGTGACCGGTCAAGTTGACTAACCGCATTCACAGGAGATAGTTTCGCAGACTGCAAATCGTCCGCAACGGATAGCCGGTAAGTTAATCCGATCAGCCAGATGTGTGTTCAGCACTTGCAATAACGCCGTCGTCGTCCACTGCGCCGCGTCCTCGCCGGCAAGATGGATGGTAATAAACATGCAGCCGTCCCGCTCGATGCGCAGATGAAAGCGACAGCAGTCCATCATACTCCGTTTGGCTCTAAAAGCATTGCGGAGGTGCATGATGATGCGGAATTTGTCGGAGGCATCGGTTAGAATACTCTGTACTCGGGCAAATGGAATAAAGTGTTTGCTATAGACTGAGCGTTCTAGCAAGAACCGACCATGGGGCGGCACCGCAGCGGCAATTTGACCCATCTCCACCAATTTAGCTCGATCGGGGGCTGCATGGGCGTTGGAGTTCAGCGCAAAGGATGTGATATAGAACATATGACAGTTGTCGCAACCCACCAGGCTACCCACCAGGGTGGCGGGTCGGAAGCGCAACGGGCCGTCCTCTTCATCACGCAGTGCCACGTGCACCGGGACATTGTCACAACCTCGATTTCCTGAATTCTCCCAGTAGAACGGCAGCAGCCAGATGCTACTCATGTGGATCCAGCGCGCCGTGACCTTTGTCGAGTCGAAATGGATGAAGGCGCGGTCGCCGTCCATATCCTGAATGTATCCCAGCCAGCACGTATCGTTAGGATTGCGGACGACGACCGTGTTCTGGTAGCTGATCTGGTTGGCATCCGTCAATACCGGCCGATACCGCTGCATCGCTCTCCAAGGCAAATCCATTATGACCTACAAATAATCATCTACATGCTAACGTATGCATGTGAAAAAATATCGCGTCCTATCAAGTTCGGCCGCACAGAATCACCTCGGCCAAGGTCTATTTCGGCGACTGGACATTTCAGCCACTTTGTTTTATGTTTCTTATGATTTCTTATACCCTTTCTTCAGTTACATTATGCTTTTCTGTTTTCTTATGTTGTCTCATGTCTTTCATGTTTCTTATGTTTTTCTTTGTTTTCTGATGTTTCTAAAATTGTCTTATGTTTTTCTAAAGTTTTCTTATTTTTTCTCGTATTCTTATGCTTTTGTTATGTTTCCTATGTTATCTTATGTTTTCTTCCGTTTTCTTGATTTTGTTGAGTTTTCTTATGCTTCTTGTGTTCATTTTTTTTTATAAGATTTCTTAAGTTGCCGGATGTTTGATTTTGTTAGACCTATTCTTTAATTGTGCGAACGTGCCATTAATTTATGTGCAGTACAGTATCCAAATTCAGATCTGTATTGCCCCGAATGGGATACACCAGAGCCACCAAACCAGAGAAGACCGACCAAAACTAGTATCACATTCCGAAAGCCCGTAGTCGAAAACCCGGCCAGATAGTATTCATTTTTTTCCGAAACAGCTCCCGCTTCGAACGCCAAAACGGAAATCGTTTCAAATTGAAATTATTAAATCTATACTGTAATTATTATCAGTTATTACCCTAATCAAGAGATGTTGCCACGTAAATCAACCAGAAAAGGTTCGAAGATATTATACAAGTTGATCCAAGAGCAGAGCATCGCAAAAAATAGCATTTTGATTCTACTGCCACCGAGGAAGAGTACCGGCCATTGGCCAAGCAACTGACTGTAGGTGAAACGAGTGATCGAGCTAGCACTAATGTCCAGGACGAAGAGCCCGTTAGGTGAACGAATTACCACTGCTGCCCGTTAGGTGAGCGGGTGACCGAGCAACCACTGCTATCTGGCGTACAGAGCCCTTAAGTGAGCGGGTGACCGAGCTGTCTGGCGCAGAGCTCGTTAGGTGAGCGAGTGACCGAGCTACCGCTACTGTCCGCCGTGTCCGGTGCACGGAGCGTGTTAGATTAGAGCGACTGAGCTACCACTACTGTCCAGTGCGCAGAACTGGTTAGGTACGCAGTTAATCGAGCTACCACTACCGTCCGGACGTACACCACCGGGCACACACCACTTTCCAGAGAAAATAGCCAGTGAAGTGATGAGTCACCGAACCAGTGATCCAGTGCGTCGCAATGGGGTTCTACAGTCCCAGAAAAAAAAACGGGGTACAACCGTGCAAGTAATGAATACATAATCGAAAAGGTCTACAATACATATACTGTAGAATCACCGTAAATTAGTAGTAGCTTCGTGAAGTGAGATTATAACGTCCTGCATACCGTATGCAGATCCGCGGGGTGGGTTAGGCGCAATTCAACTGCGCCAGTTGGGCCCGCTTCGAAGTTCAGTCAGCGCCCACTGCGCCCATTAATTTCAAAGCTTACGCCCGTTGCGCCCGTATGAATAGGTCGCGCTTTACTTCGCGTTTTAATAGCTTAATTAATATAAATAATATGATTATTATAATTATTGATCACCGTACATCAGGCCAAAAACACATCAGGCCAAAGCCCCGGCTTTGATATGGGCGCACGGCCGGCGGCGCCCGCTGCGCCCTTTAAAAAATCCAGAAATTTTGCGCCTACTTTGGGCGCAGATTTAAATCAAAAGTAGGTCGCGGAGCGGTAGGCGTGCGCCAGTGCGCCTATACCCTCCCGGCCCTGCAGTGCATACGGTGTACCCAGAGGTCCCAGACTGCCTGGGAACGCAGGCAAGGCATTGTCACAAGGGAATAGAAACCATGGATGATGGAACTATGTGCTCTGGTACGAATGTACCGGGTGGCCGAACAAAATGGCCCTCTCTGTTATTCTTGCGCCCCTTGCAAACTACTTGACGTACTGCGAACAGCTTAGGCTTGTTAGATAGACACTTTTAATAGCTACTAAACCAATAAAACGTTTTTTGAAAAGTTGAGATTTCCTCGTTAACTATGGCGCCAAGTAAAATCTTGTCGAAATTTTTAGTGTCCCAGCTCTCAAAGTTAAAAATTCGTCTCGCTTCGTTTCAGTGCGTAATATTTTCATCTTAAATTGTTTTATCTAGAAGAGGACCTACTCTACCATGGGAAAAAACTTGTTGGAAATGTGCATGCGGTTGATAAACTCTATGCAAACTTTTGACTTTTCTAAAAAAATTCAAGTTTTTTACTTTGCTTTTTTAGGTATTTTAGTAACAATTTTTTTGTTCATGGCAGGGTGCAACAAAAAACACCGTTTCAACTGGCAATGTAGATGGGTGGTTGCCCTTTCAAACACGGGTTTGAACCAGGACTGTTTTCGAACCAATGATGTAAAAACTGTTTTCGAAGAATATGCTACCCCTTTTCATGAGGATTAAATGTAGGGAGTATCAAATCTTTCGCTCCTTAGCCACACAGGGTCACTGGAATGTCGCTGGTTTTTACCGTAAAAAAAACAGGAACAATTTCTCTTTTCGAAACACTAAGGTGATAAACAGTAATGTGCTCAGTTGAATATCTACAATTTTAATTCGAAAGTAGGAAATTTTGAATTTTGGTTTATAGGACAGTATCCAACTCTGCCAGTTTTTCAAAAATAATGCAGAGAAAAACCAAATTGTTTTACCCTAATGGTTTGACATAACTTTTATGTGCTGCAGACATTGCTTTTCGAATAAAACTAATGTCATCTCAGTCGAGCACTGGACAAACCCAGGACACCTCAGTGAAACAGAGGGCCATTTTGTTCAGCACCCAGTACTTACTGTATTTATGATAATTTATCGTTCTCCGCGCAAAGGTCGCTATAGCGACAATACCAATAATCGCTGCACACAACCCTTAAAGAAAGTTCCACGACCTCCAACACTCGATCCAAACTTACAAGAAAAACATTTTCGATCCAAACTCAGGTTAGTTATGCATCAACTGTTCCAAAACCAGGAGAATTGTTTTATCAGTCATCAAATCTCGAAGTACGAGTGTATTTATTTCACTTCTAACAATTGTAAGCAATAATGAATAGCAGAATACTCCAGAATATTTTATCATCTCGTCGACGAGATCCAGGCATCAAAGCTGAAGAAACTCTGGATTCTGGAATAATTGTCTGCACATATTGCAAAAATTGCCTTAACTAAAATCCACAATAATAATAATAGTAAACGAAATTTATTGTCCTGTAACGAGTCCTTAATGATGGAAATAAATTGTTACTGTTACGTGCCATTAAGGAACTGTAATCACAGTGTGTCGTGCGGCCATTTTATCATAATTATTATAAATCATACAGTGCATTGAGAAATGCCGCATTCGACAAACGCAAACGGCGCCAGGGAACTCAATAATCGTTGATATTCAATGTTGATAACAATCATAACATTGTGCATATAGTCGCTGCATACTGCATGTAGAGTAGTCACGCGATGAGCTGTAGTCACACGTGGCGTATATGGAGGACAGCCTTTCAGCATGATACGCTTACCATGGTTAGTATTAGTGCAGTACACGACCATGATTGTGTTATGCCGTACCCCAGAATTAAAATGCTAAATTTCAATGCAACGCAGCGTTCAGGTTTTCCGTTCAGCCTGCAGCACTGATAAGTAAAATAACTAATAAGGGATGCCTACATGTGCAGCAGTGTGGCTGCGGCAGGCGGTGGCGGTCGCCATCGCGACAGAGGGTGTTTAGCACCCGAGACCATATGGGCTCTGTTGTGTAGAATTTGTAAGGGTAGTCTTTTTTGTAGAAGCTATAGTTTGCCCATATGTGTCCTGTCAAGGACAATTTTCGACTTGGGTATTTCGATATAAATGAGGCCGCTTTTGAAGTTCGCTGATGGATTGATTTTGGATTGAAAGTTTTTAAATGCAAGGGGTTGGCATTTCCTGGGATTGGTAGTTTTCTTAGCATAGTGTGGTTTGGGTATAAAAAGGGAGTCAGAGTGCGGTGAGAAGTTAGTTGGTGAGGTGGTTGCTGGGAAGTTTGTTGGTTAAAATTGTTCTGTTGTTAAGTACTCGTGAGCAATGGTTGTAATGGTTGGTACGATTGTGAGTCGTGTATGTTTCGAGTTGAAGCGTTGTGGTTTGAAACTGGAATCTAGTTACGTAGTTGTATTTTTCATTTATTGCTGGTTGATTCAGTTAACGGTATGTTTATTATAATAATGTCGTATCATAATGACGTATAAAACTGATAATAATATAATAATGACGTATAATATGATTTTATTGGTAAGAGGAAAAGCGGAATGAATAACATGAAAATAGTGGGCTTGGAGGATGAATAGTGGCATGGTCACTGTAGTGTGGTTGAAAAGGTATGAAAAAAGAAAGTCCATAAAATAAACAATTTGTTCTAGAAAATCTTGTTATTTTATTACTTGTACCGGTATTAGTATCCGCTTAAAGTAAGTAATCGAATGTTTCAGTATTGATTAAGTTGTTATTGTAAAGTATGGTTTACTGGTGTAGTTATGAAGAAATATTTATTTTTATAGGTAACATTTTTAAAAGAGTGTGTGATGGCATTAACTGTTGGATCATTAGTTGTTATAGTTTGTAGCAAATAGTGCTTTATTTTTACAAGATTACAGTACTAAATTTTCAGTTAACCTGTTAATAAGTTTATGTAAGAGATAACAGAAAGGATGGTTAGGCTCTGAGTTTTCTGACAGCATGCAACAATAGTTCTTATGGTTAAGCAAATTCCATTTTAATGTTCGATAAAGGGTGAAAAATTTTGAAGTCATGCATTGCAGTATGATAGTATCTTTTAATTAAAATTCATATGGTAATATCACACATCAAATTGGTGGGTGAAAAAACACAGACAAATGCAGTTACAAAATCAAGTTCAAATAGGTACTAAATTAAAATTAAATTAATCACTACTTATGTCTGTACAGTATTATTTACTTAAAGGTATGCTTAAATTTAAGGTATTTGTCGAAATTCAGGATAAATCGTATCGTAATTGATTACGATGAAGTTTTTACATGGAATTTTGGCAGAAGTAAACTAATCATGAAAACAGGTGGATCCAGTCATCCATTTCTTTAATAATCATATATTCAATGAGCCGTTTCAATATCTCTACTGATTTGTTGGATATTTATTTCCAGAGCATAAATTAGGAGATTTGGAGCATGAAAAAGTATGCCGTGATAAAATCAAGCATTAATATCAGCTAGATACAGCCATCCAAAAAAATTTTATGGCTGTGCTTGGCGAAAGCTTCTGGCGCATTTTATCACATTTTTCTGTATGTAGTAGAAAAGTGCAGAAAATGAATTTAGGCATAGTAAAATGGTAATTCGCCAAAACAGTTTGGCTAAACTGTATCGTGAAACGACTTAATACTGGAAACTGGAAAACTCGAAAGTTTTCTTTTGGCATAAAACATGTTACAAGTAAACAAGTGTGTGCAGTCATCCGATGTGTTTCCTATTATTTGAAGAAACATTTAAAACGCACAACCCACCGCGTTTGAAAGACGCTCATCATATTGCATAACACGCAGTTTACGCTAATTGAGAAAAAGGAGTACATGAACGGTGTTACCGATTCGCGGACAGTAATAAAACTATTAGTATTAGGTACTATGTTATAAGTATGCGCCCAACCACAGATTTACTGCCACCCTTAAGCGGTTGTGGGCGTGCGTGTTACTTGCTGCGTTTGAGATACCGATTAACAATAGAAGTATACCGATATACAAAGTACAAACTATCTTATAATAATATTAATATATCGGCAAATTGTAACAATTTGCCGATATTCTTATAATAATATTAATATATCGGCAAATTGTAACAATTTGCCGATATTTGGTCTGTAAACTTCGAATAATTCTAACCGAATGGAAAAACCAAAACCCAAAAACTTTCCGAAGACACCCTTTTATTGCTTTTAACATAAAATACTTCACATCAACAAGCAGCACTAACAAACACTCAATCTTGTATGCTTCAAATGCTTAAACGCCGCACAGGTGCTATATATACAGGACCACAGGTGACGATCCTAGCTTCTTAACCCGCCTGCCAGCTGGGTCTCTTCCAGAGATAGAGAGCCGCCCGTAAGGCTTCAATGCAAAGCAGCGTTCTGGTTTTCCGTTCAGACTGCAGCACTAATAAGTAAAATCCAGTTTATTAAAGCAGGACTCTGTTCGAACTAATCCCGCCTCCAAACCTTTCTGATTGGCCAAAAGTTCAGAACCATCCATACCTTCTGATTGGCTAGAACCGGTCGTACGGCATTTAGGCCTGTACAGCCTTTTTTTACCTTCGTTGCTATCAGACAAAAGCCTTTACTAAGCTTTCGAAACCTTAGTACCTGCACGAATTTTTACCCGATTAACCAGATCTGCTGGATCCTACCTTCAGGTTTCGCAACCTTACTAAGGTTGCGAAACCTTAGTGTCTGTACGAACTTTTACTTGATTAGCCGGAACCACCAGATTAGCCAAAACTGCCAGAAACCAGAACTGCCAGATCAGCCAGAACTATCAGAATCACCAGATCAGCCACAACTAGCAGATCTACCAGAACCACCAGATCTTTTAAGTCAGCTGTACCACATCATACTCTACCAGATCAAACTGTACTCCCAGTTCGACCTGCACCATCCAGGAGTGCCGTGTTCAAACTCACTACTCAGCCTTCAAGAGATTATTAAACCAAGCGTTGGAAAGAGTCGTAAACTAAACTTTGAACGTAAACTTTCAAGCCCTTAACATCCGAAGGCTACGCGCGCGTAGCCTTCGGATGTCACTTTTTTAAGCCTTTGGTCACTGAAGGCCTTTTGTCACCGAAGGCCTTCTAAGCTTTTGGTAACCGAAACTCTTTTAGGCCTTTGATCACTCCTGGTCTTTGATCCCTTCAGTCTCCTAAGGCCACGCGTGCGGAATCCACCCTTTTAAGCCTTTCGTAACCGAATGTCTAATAATCCCTTTATCACCGAAAGCCTTTTAAGCCTTTGGTCTCCGAAAACCTTTTGTAACCGAAGGCCGTTCGAGCCTTTTCTGACCAAAGGTTTTTTAAGCCTTTTATCACCGAAGGCTTTCAAGCCTATTCACACCAAAGTTCTTTCAAGCCTATGGCCACCCAAGGCCTTTGGTCACCAAAGGCATTTTAGGCCTTTGATTACCGAAGGCCTTTGGTCCCGAAGGCCTTTTTTGACCAAAGGTTTTTTAAGTCTTTGGTCACCGCAGGCCTTTTAAGACCTTGGTCACTAAAGGCGTTTTAAACCTTCGGCTAATGGTGGCATTTTAAGCATTTGGTTACTGCTAAGTTTTAATCCTTTGGTCACCAGAGCCCTTTTAAGCCTTTGGCAACCAAAAGGCTTTAAATCCTTTGGTCACCGATAGCCGTCTGCGCTTTTGCAAACCGAAGTCCTTTGGTCACAGAAGGCCACGCGTGCGGTGCCATCCGTTTCAAGCCCTTAACAACCGAAGGCTACGCGTGCGGCACCCACTGTTTTAAGCCTTTGGCAGTTGAAGGCCTTTTGTCAACAAAGGCCATCTAAGCTTCTGGTAATCAAACGCCTTTTAATCCTTTGGTCGACGAAGGGCTTTCAAGCCTTTGGTCACCTAAGGTCATTCAGGCCATTGGTCACAGGAAGCCTTTAAATCCCCTGTTCACCGAAAGCCTTTTATCCTTTGGTAACCGAAGGCCTTTGGTCCCGAAGGCCTTTGTTGACCGAAGGTTTTGTAAGTCTTGGGTCACTGAAGGCGTTTTGATCCTTTGGTCATTGTAGGTAGTTGTAAGTAGACCAATAAACACAGAAAAAGTTTGTAACTGTGGGCCACGCGTGGGGAATCCACGTTTTTAATCCTTTGGTCACCAAGGCAACGCGTGCGGTATTCGCCTTATTTGGCCTTTGGTCAACGCGTGCGGTATCCGCTTATTAAACCTTGGGTCTCCTAATGTTTTTTAAGCCTTTGGTAACCGAAGGCCCTTTAAGTGTTAGGTCACCAAAGGCCTTTTAAGCCTTTGGTCACCGAATGTCTTTTAAGCCTTCAGCCACCGAGGGCCTTTAAAGCCCTTGGTCACCAAAGGCCTTGCGTGCGGTACCCGCCTTAATAAGCCTTTCGTCACCGAAAGCCTTTTAAGCCTTTGATCACCAAAGCCTTTGGTCACCAAATACCACGTGTGCGGTATCCGCCTTTCTAAGCCTTTGGTAACCATGATATTTAAAGCTTTTGGTCACCGAAGGCGACGTGTATGGTACCCGCCTTATTAAAACTTTGGTCAACGGAGCCCACGCGTGCGCCACCCGCCTTATTAAGCATTTCAATTAATCCCAAGAGCCCAGACGTGCCGTACCCGCTTCATAAGCCTTTAGTAACCGAAAGCCACGCGTGCAGCACCTGCCGT